TATATTAATATATTAATTATAAAAATATATATCGAGTAAAAATATATTTTAGTATTTTTCAGTTAAAAGAAATAAAAAAATAAGTAATCCAGAAGTTACTAAAAAAATCTGTTAGAATTATATTTGTTCTATAATATAAAATCTGAAAAAAATGTAGTTTGAATTTTTTTTCCTTCACATTCAAAAATTTATCAAAAATTGATTTTGTAAATTAAAAAAATTTGAATGTGTAATGTTTCCCTTAAATCTAAATAACTGTAAATAAGGGCAAATTTGAAAAATCATTGTTAGGAAATGAACCGTGTTCGGAAATTTTTTATTTTAGCGCATAAAAAGACACCGGTGTTTCATGCTGTATAGCTAAAAATTATTTTTAAAAATTATTGAAATGCTAAATATAATATTTCTCACTTATTTTGAACTAAATTAACACAAAGTAATGAAAAAGTGGAAAAAATATGTATAATGAAAATTCGTCGTCAAAGTTTTAATTATTCATCATATGATTTTACTCGAGATTAATATTTCATGCCAGATGTTTCTTTTTTAATCAATTTTTTAATACAATGCAAAATAGGTAGCAATTTCTATCAATACTTGATAACCTTTAAATACAAAAAGACTTTATCTATATTTATACTTCTAGGCACATCTGAGATAGTGATAAAAAGAAGAAGAAAAAATTCAAAACAGACAACACTTGTTGAACTTCAGTGGGAGAAACGATATTGAAAGGTGCACGTCAACGATTCTGACAATTATTTCTGAACGTGTTTCGATTTTGACTCGAGCAAAAGTCAGAGCAACAGGTGATGGAATCAATTTCGTGAAAACAACAAGAAAAGTTCTACCTAAGGTATTATATTCTATTAGAACTCGCCAAATTATGGTAACTCATTGAGAATTATAATCGTATTCTTCGATACGATTATTATTCGACTCCAATTGAACTTAAAACACTAATGCTTTTAATTTATTAAAGTTTTTAAGGATATCTAAAAGAAGGGGATTTGGACCAATGTTTCATTCAAATGTAATTGCTGTTTTAAGCTCTTTAATTTTTATTTTTTAATTAATTTTCATAATACTTACTGAATCCTCACTCTCGAATTTTTATAATTTGGATTATTTGGTTGTACAGAAACATGATAAAATTGTAGAATATGTCACAATTTTGCTTTCTATATATTGAAGATTTTAAAGCACACTAAATGGAAGGTGATTCAAATAGAAATACTATTTGAAAATCTTTAATTTTCATTTAATTGACTACTTGTTTGCATATACTAAAAATTAAAATATTATGGAATATTGCAATAAATTATTATTCCATTTCAATTATGTTCTTAGTATAATTAATATTTCAAAGCATGCTAAGTAGAGGGTGATTATAAACAATGTTTCATTCACTTAAAGTTGCTGTTTTAATTTTGTTTTTGCTACGTTTATTTTTATCATACCTACTAAAACTTATGTCTCCAAATCAAGTTTGGATAATTTGTTAGTACTAATATTCAACTGAAAATGAAAAAAGTATAGTAGTATATGTAAAATAACTATGCCTTCAGTTTATTAAAAGTTTTCAAAACTTGAAGAAGGTGGTTATGACCAATAGTTCATGCAAGAAGAAATTTTGTTTTAAATCTCTTATTCATTTATTTATTTTTATAATAAGTAATTCTTGTAATTATTATGAATAATTGTGGAATGATAAAAAAATACTTATACATAAAAATCGAATCATGCAAAGAATTTTTTCTTTCTTGCCTATGTTGGTTTTAAACTTGAAGCAAACCCTTTTTACAACCAGAATAAGATTGGGGTGATTAATTTAACCAAGAACGATAGTACATGATTCAAGACCTCACTGTATTGCTGCTTTATTATTATTATTTCGAAACAGTTCCTCGATAAAGTGTGTCCCAAAATGCATACAAGATTTGAATTTGTCACCATTTGTACTGTAAAATGCTATAAATAAATTGCAATACGACAGCTGGTAATTAAGAGTTTTCAAAGGTGGGGTGCTGAACGAAAGAATGACGCTTATTCAGTGCTGTGTAATATTTCGACAAATTAGAGTCATTCCTTTGCTGCCCGTTTTGATTACTAAAACTGCTCGTTTTGGTAATCAAAACTGACCACTCAGTTACTGCGCTCTTACACAGTTTGATTATTAAAAATAAAGAACTTAGGTTTATGGCAGAATTCAGTCAAACTTAGGCAAAATGGTCATTTAAAATTTCAACAAAAGAGAGTGTATGTGCCAACAAAAGCCATGGAGATGAATTTCCTGGCAAGCTATCCCAAACTCAACCCAATATTGTATACTTTATTTTTTAATTGAAATAACTGCTTTGACAATCAAAACTACTTCTTACGTGAACTGAGGGACAACCCATAGTCTTTTTCAATTCGTTGCTTTGTTTATTAATGCAACTTATATCATTATCTTATCCCTTTATAGATCTCCCATTAGTTTCACTAACTTCAAAACTCCACCGAGAAAATCATGGTGTCGGTTTTCTTTCTTTTGCAAGTAGTGTGCCTCGCCGCTTCTGTATCTGCAGCTTGTCTGAATAAACAGGACAAATATGTGAGCGGGGATAACACAGACTTGGCAGCAGCCCTGCGATTTCTTCAAGACAATGATCGCCTGTCAGAGAAAATTACCAATAAAGGTGTTATTGCCCAGTGGAATTACCAGAGCAATCTGACTGAACACAACAAGAAGGAATTCGTAAGTGGTTTTTATATTGTCTTGAACAAGCTTTAAGTTTTGAGGATGGCGATTTTTAATATTGGCACATTTTGGTGATTTCTTTTGTAAAACAATGGAATAAATCAAAATTTTGTAAAAAGTCTTTTTTTATGAAACTAATGATAAATAAAATTACTTTTTCCATGACGATATAAAATAAAACGGGACTGTACAGCCTTTTGTTCAGTGAAGCCTTTCTTTTTGAGAGATGCACGACCAAACCAGTAATATCTGCAATTTTGAATTAGGACCATAAAATAACTTTATTTTTATCTTTGCAAATAGCTACAAACTTAAAAAGGATATTTTTGATGTTTCAAATTTTGTCATAAATCATAGGTAATTCTGAAAGAAATGCTGTTTTTTTAACTCATCCGTTTTAAATTGGATTGTTGGAAAAAAAATTTTCTTTTCAATTTATAAGTTTAACCGACTTGAAAAATTTTGCTTCGAGAAATTCGCTATTGTACAGTTTTTTGAGCTCAGGCTGCAAACTGTGAAGGGATGCTTAAAATTTTAAAATTCGAAAAATTAAGTATTTTTCTTATTCCTTAACGTTTGGTTGTGTCATTTTAAAGAACCCTTTGAGTAAAAAAAAAGTAAGACGAATTAACAATTTTTTTCGATTATCATCTGTATAGAGTGACCTAACCCGTAAATTGTTTTCTTGTTGCAGTCATTTTTTGCAATTTCTTAAGATCATAAGTTTCGGGGGACAGGAAGATGAAGATCAAATTTCATTAACTGAGATGACATATTCAAAAGAGGAAAAAAATAAGCATCAATTTTACTTTCTGACTACAGGGAATGATTGTTTATTATATATAACCTTGTTAAAAACAGGAAACAGTTTAATCATAGATCAGACAAGAATTTAAGTACATATATGCTAGGTTTACGAAACTAAATTTATTTCTTATTCCTTTTGTTTGGTCATTAAATTTCTGAATACTGGAAGATTTATTTTAATGAGGTTTTACTTATTCAAAATACAATGTAATATGCAAGAGTAGACGAATTTCAAAGTTTATTGGAGTTAGGCTCAATTGTTAGGATCGCAAATATATTCTGATTTTCATGTTTAAAGAACAAAATAAATTTTATGATCCTGCTCTTTAAATATGAAAATCTGAACAGGATAAATCTTATTACAATATGTTGCACTTGGTATGATTTTTTAGCAGCCATGGTGGGATTGGGATACTGAAATAGAAAATCCTAAATAGATCAGTGAACAGAACAGTGAGTAAAACGTGTATCAAAAGTAAAGATTAATTATGAATGAAAGTTTTACAATATACTAGTACAATATATAATGAAAAAGATTTTATTTTCACGAAATTTTACAGCTTTGTTGTCTATTTTTTTTCACCACCAACTCTCTTTTGTTCCATTGCCCCTAACAGCCTTGGGTTTTTTTTCTCCATAAAGGCAAAATGAAACCTAAAAATGCACTAATTAACGGACATATTAGTTAAAAACTTCCTTAACGAAAGATTAATATTGTATATTGCAATTGAGAGCTTCTATAATACCGAGTATGAATAGTTTTTTTGTATTGACTTAGTGAAGTTAACGAATTCCAATTTGACATGTCCTTAATACATCAAAAATTAATAATACTAAGATTCCAGTTTCTTAGATGGCTAAAAATTGTTTTTCTTGTTTTATATCATTAAAATAACATGTTTTTCATGCTTGAATGTCGCAGTTTAAAAACATTTTTGAAAAAGAAAAAAAATAGGGAAAAATAGTATATTTTTCAAATTATTTTGCACAAAAATCGAAACATTTTTTTAGAATGAGAGGCTTTGTTTTGACGAAAAAGTGTGAACTTTATGATGAAAAAATATTAATACAATTTCTAGGTAGCTTAGTTTTATTTTATTTTATAACCGACGTTGAACAGCCTATATAATTCTGAGTTTACGACTATCAATGTTTAACTCCGTAGCCTTAGAACTTTAAGATCAATCCAGAAAACAAGGGAACTCCTGGATCAACCATTGGAACAAACTAACGCTTGTGGAGAACTTTTTGATGGAACTAACATGTATTTGGGTTACATAAAGAGGAAAACCACGAAAACCTCCCTTGGTTAGCCCGACGGCAAGGACATTTTAATCCATGGTCCACCCACCACTGACGATATTTTGCGTAAGCACTATGGCCGGTGAGAGCGGGAAGAGAAATTCGTATCAACCAGTCAACACTGGGATTAGAATCTAGATCACCTCATTGGGAAGCATACTCTAAGCCGCCGTGGCTCCTGAAAGCTTAGTTTGAACGCAACGGTCTTCCCTAAGCAGAAATAAAACAAAAATTAAGGAAAAATTTCATTAAAATAAAACTAATAAAAAGTAGAAAATGGGATTTCTAAGCACAAGCCATCTTTTCCAACCGATTTCATATTTGCAAAACAAAATTTTCTGACCAAACATTCTGCATATACATATAGATACACACTACTATCACACAGATCTCCTTTTTATTGTATGTGTTACCGGCAAAGTATGAAACTCCGGCATTGTATAGAATGACTAGGCATTGTATAGAATGCCTGACGTTTTTAGGCAAAGTATGAAATGTGAGAAGTATTACATACTTTGCCTAGGCATTGTATAGAATGCCTAGGCATTCTATACAATTCCGGATGCTATTTAGGCAAAGTATGAAATAAACGTCCTGTTGAGGTTATGATGTGTTGTGAGGTAAATGATGTGCATGTTACTGCGAATGAGCGAAATCGGTGTTGTTGACTTTCTCCGGTGAATGTTGACAATCACATAGTGGCTTTGATGAATGTCCGAAATGTTTATTACGTCCGAATTTATATTAATTTATTCGTGGATATAATTACATTTATTCGATATTTTAATACTTACTGACGATAGATTAGAAGAAACATCAGTGCTTGGAGTATCGGGCAAATGTATACCGGGCAGTGGCCCTTGACCTTAAAAAAACATCAGTGTAGGGTATACCGGGCAATGGCACTTAACCTTACAAAAAACATCAGTGTAGGGTATACCGGGCAAATGTATACCGGGCAATGGCACTTGATCTTAAAAAAGCATCATTGTAGGGTATGCCGGGCAAATGTATACCGGGCAATGGCACTTAACTAAACCTAGCATATATTTCGGACATTTACCAAGGGTCCAGTCATACTAGTTCTAGTTAAGTGTCATTGCCCGGTATACCTCACAATGATGTTTTTTTTAAGGTCAAGTGCCACTGTCCGGTATATATTTGCCCGGTATACCCTACACTGTTTTTTTTTTAAGGTCAAGAGCCACTGCCCGGTATACATTTGCCCGATACTCCAAACACTGATGTTTCTTCTAATCTATCGTCAGTAAGTATTAAAATATCGAATAAATGTAATTATATCCACGAATAAATTAATATAAAATCGGATTACGTTTTGAATTTGTCATTTTTGAATGACATTTTGACGAATCGGAGATGTATTTTATACTTTGCCGGTTTCTCATTTGGCATTCTATAGAGTGTCTAGGCAATGTGTGAAATGTAAATCATTTCATACTTTGCCAGCTAGTTTTAGGTATTCTATACAATGCCGGATTTCATACTTTGCTGGTAACATATGCATCAACTAACTAACACTGGGATTCGAATCTGGGTCACTTCATTGGGAGGCATCCTCTAAGCCACCATGCACCATGGTTCTAGGAAGCTTAGTTTAAACGCAACGGACTTCAATATGCAAAAAAAAAAAAAAAAAAAAAAAAACTGACAAAAATTTAGGAAAAATTTCTATAATAAAAATAACCAATAAAAAGTAGAAAATGGGATTTCTAAGCACAAGCCATCTTTTCCAACCGATTTCGTATTTGCAAAACAAAATTTTCTGACCAAACACTCTGATTATAAAGATAGATACACACAATCACACAGATCTCATTTTATAGTATGTATTATAGATTGTACGTGACCATAATATCAATAAAAATAGGAAAATATTGCGATCCCTTCAAATGTTTGTATTTGATAGCTTTTTCGTCGGATTTGTATTAGACGGTCATTTATTAAGTAATTTTTCCTTAAAAAAATTTGAAACACACATTTTTTATTTATTCATTTATTATTATTATTTTGTCGTCAGTTGCGGATGGAAGAAGAAATGGCAAAATTCGCCAAAGAAACATGGAGAAATGCCACTTCATTTGCATGGAAGAATTTTAAGGGTAAAAACGAAACAGCCTACAGATGGTTCAAAGCTTTATCGGTGTTAGGATCTGCTGCTCTTCCTGAAAATAAATTCAACGAGGTACGTAATTCAATTTTCAAGTCTTTTTACATTTTTTATTGTTGAATAATTTTTACGACAATACAAGTGGCGTTTAAAAAAATTCTGCGAAAAGAAGCCTAAAACAGCTGAAACAAAATATCTTTATTCAATTTTAAAGTAACATTAGCTAGATACAGTAGAAAAGATATTGTCCCCTTAAGTCCTAGCAGATTGTCTAATTTTGATTGTATCAATTCCAATAATTTAAAAATATTATGAGGAATAGGTTATACGTTTGTCTAGTAACATATTTTTTTAGTAAACGAATGGTGTCATATACTTTATATAAAAATATTAAGTGAAAAATGTGGAACCAAGTTGTTGCACTTCAGACCATTAGATGTCCATGAAGTCAATTAGATGGATTCAAGTCAAGAATCCTTGGTCTTGGTCGACTCTTGGACTCAGTCTGAGTTCCTGCTCTCTACTTTTGAAAAATGATTAAGTTGGACATTCATGTAATTAAAACTTATTTTAATAAAGTTTTCAAGTATTCTTCAATAGGGAAATACATTAAAATGAAGCATAAAAGTGACACCAAATAATAAATTGTTTAAAAATTTACTGATTTACTAAATGCATGAAAAATTTGCATGTCGATATGGCATAGTCTCAGAAAAATTACATTACTGCTTACTAATGTTCAAACGAGCCTGTTGCTCGTGCCTTGGACAGATTCAGTGCGGAATTTAAATACTGGGTCTAAGGTAATATAGCCAGCTTGGTAAACGATATTTTTATTGTTTTTTGAAGAATTTCTGCATGAATTAATGTCAGTAGGTCATGTCAGCATTTATTAAAACTTAAAAAAAGTTATGAAAACGTTTTTATCCGATAACTAAAATAAATGCGTAAATAAAAAGAAATCATGTTAGATTAAAACGGGGTCTACCTGCACTTTAGTTTATCTTTAACAATTTATCGGAATTCTGACAACTTCAATTTTATTGACGTAACTGATATTTGCTTATCTGCTGCGTCCACATATAGATATTATCCTCTCAGCTCTTATCATATTTTTTGTATCTTTTAGCTTGGCAATATTAATGCTGACATGCAAGATGTATATGCAAAGGCAAAAGTCTGCAGTTATATGTCATCCCTCTTGGATCCTTGCACTTTATCTATTGAACCAGGTGATAAAAAAGAATTAAAAAAATAAGGAAGAGTTACAATATTATTATATTAAAACAATGAAGTTTTATTTATTTTAAAGATAACTTTGTTCTGATTACAGCTGATTCATTCAGTAAAAGATTTAGAAAGAGAACAACAGTTAAAAGGATGCTATACAGATAAAAAGTGATCCAAAATTAGAACAAATGTGAATTTTTTGCCGTTTTGCAGTAAAATAGCAGTATTAGTATTTTATTTACCTCAAACTAGAGCACCACAATGGGCAATTGGTGACGGTCTGGGAAACATCCCGGAAGATGATTCGATGACATGCCATCACAATTTTGATCCTTTGCAGAGGATGTGGCAGACTGATCAAAGTGATCACCCACCCGCTCACTGACCGTAGCCAGTGGTGCTTGACTTCTGTGACCTATTGGTTATCGTGTTTTACAATCAGTCTACCGTGGGAAGTGAAATGAAGTATTTCAACGAAACGAGCAAGAAAACTGTAATAACTATTCAGGGTTATTAAGAATGTAGCTTAAAAACGAGAAAATATGTAAAACACGTAACATTAATGCAATTAATAAATTTAGCGTAACATTAAATATAATTCGGCATATTTAAATGAACGGAATTTAAATACATCCAGTTGTTCTTATTCAACCATAAAATTAATCAGAAACATATTTATTTAACCTTTTGAATATCGATATTTCCTACGAAGTGATATCGCAAGCCCAAATCTGAATTTTATAAGGTACAGTCAAGTCAGAGACTATTCCATACAATTTATTTCACGAACTTAAAAGTATTGTTTAACTCTGTAGACATTTCATTTACAAGTTATACATGTAAAAACCAGTTGCGCACGCACAGCCTGACTTCGTTTTCTGTTTGAAACCAATGTCCATGCAGAGTTTTTTTTTTTCATTATTTATTATCATTTTTTTTCCTTCTCTTTTTTTTCTATTCATTTTTTTTTGGAGCTTATTGAATGGAATTCCCACGAAGATAGATCTAGACTATAGGATTGATGAAGGGCTCAAGATTTTCCATTTGAATTTCAGCAGAAGTTTCTTCATTGCTTTGGCTATGCGAATTGTCGTGCTACAGGATGACTCCAAGAGAAAGATTGCAAGGGATTTTTTATTTCCTTGCGTTCTTGGGCTTTGCTAACGTTTCCAAATACTGCAAAGCCTATAGATCCAGAGCTCTGGAAAATCAAACAGAAGCGGTCATTGCGACGCACTCCTCTTACCAGTCCCCTTCGGAAACGGAATGAATGGATTTACAGTTGCTTGGGGGGGGGGGATAGNACACGGCTGCAACGAACTAAATAATTTCATGAGCTAGGTCTTGTTGCCAAGGATAAAGTTTCTGTTTGTTAAACCATAAAACACAGTTAATAAATTCTCTCAAGGATAACAGTTTGAATAGCGTCATTTTATGGTTATTTAATTGCTTTGATTGTATTCGGTAGAATAACAATTAAATGAATTATTACTTAAGAGTGTTTTTCATGAAAAATTCCTAACAGTGTAGATTTGTTCCCCCCCCCCTAAGTTTTGTTAATTTTCTTTTAAGTTTAATTTTTAAAAGCAAGGAGTTCTAAACGAATTTTTGAAATAGACAGTTTTATAAATCTTATGCTCATTTAGGTTCAATTGAAAATACTGTGAGCTATTTCTTTTTCAAACAAAATTATTTGTTGAAGTGAAACTTCTAATGCGACTTCCAACAAGGTTGCGTTAAGCGTTTAACGCTACCATGGCAATGAGCGGCCTGTGATCCTTGTAGGAGATTTTAATGTGAATTTCTCGTTACCTGAAGCGGAAACATTATTAACCTTCCTTAAAGACAAATTTGGATTGGAAATGATAAATGGCAGGAATGATCCAACAACCAAAGGGGAACTACCATTGATGCAGTTTTTGCAAGAAATATTGAAAAAATAGAACTCAAACATTTCGTATCTTACTTTAGTTATCATAATCCCATTGTAAATGTTATAGATTTGGATATTTTTCCACTCGAAAATGATAATTAGAAGATGCGATCAATCGTGAATTGTAAGCAATGTTAATAAAGTTTGTCTTAAAGAAACAATATGATTTCACTAAAAATCAATTTCTACTCCTTCCTATTTTCATTGCCACATTACGAAGTTTCACTTCCTCCGCGCGGAGAGACTCCACGCACTATTTTTTTTTTTTTTGAGCTTGTTGAATGGAATTCAGACGAAGATAGATCTGGACTATAGGTGAGATGATGGGCTCAAGATTTTCCATTTGAATTACAGCAGAAGTTTCTCCATTGCTTCGGCTATGCGAATTGTCGTGCTACAGGATGACTCCAAGAGAAAGATTGCAAGGGATTTTTTATTTCCTTGCGTTCTTGGGCATTGCTAACGTTTACAAATACTGCAAAGCCTATAGATCCAGAGCTTTGGAATATCAAACAGAAGCGGTCATTGTGACGCACTCCTCTTTACCAGTCCCCTTCGGAAACGTAAAGAATGGATTTACAGTTGCTTGGGGGGGGGGATAGTCTAGCGTTGAGCCCATGTTCAAGAGGTCGTGAGATCCCCAACGACCGGCCGCAAACTCCCCCGTCTGGTAAATAGTGACTGATGCGCATTGAATCTATCAGTTCTCCAAGTTCCCATAACAAATTAATACCTCTGGGAGTACTGAATTAGAGATTGATCGTTCTCTGATTCTGATCAAAATTACGATCCGTGGATGAATTAATGAATTGGTCAGCTCTTTAAGACGAGCTGACATGTGACTGCCTAAAGTCGAAATGCACCCTCCCCATTAAATTCGCTTGGTTTCACCAAGCAAGCTTGCTGGTATTGGCAAGTGACATTAGAAACAACAATAACAGTTGCTTTGCTGCCATCTTATTATTATTGCTAATATGACAATCACGGCAACGTAGTGAATGACAGACGCGTGGATCCTGTTCATCAATCAGCTACTACAATGACATATTAAATAAAATTCAGTTGCGTGTTGCCCTTTCCTGGGATCCCACATTATATTCCTGTAATTTTAATCTTCGGACAACAAAGATCCTAGTAATGAAGTCTACGTATCTTGTATAATAATCATCTAGTGTAATATTTTGCAGTCTTTGTTTACAATGACAATGATTCTAAAAAAGAAGTTCTCACAATATTGTGCAATAACCAGAGAATGCAATGGCTTGTAGTTTTAATTTACGAGCAACAATGGTTCTAGTGATTAAGTCCAGACATTGTGCAATCATTGTCAAATGCATTATCTTATGATTTACGAACAACCATGATTTTAATAAAGTGCATACGCATCATTCTATAATCATCTAATGCAATAACGTAATGTATCCAGTTCATTGAGGACTATTTTTAAAATGAGAGTTATTGTTCTAGAACTGACTGAAATTATGAAAGAATCTACAAACTATTATGAGCTGAAGCACGTGTGGGCTCAGTGGAGAGATGAGACAGGTAAAAAGATGAAAAACAAATTCCTCAGATATGTTGAGCTATCTAATGAAGCAGCTTGCAAAAATGGTAAGTCAAGGAAATCTGGAACTTCTTTTTTTTAATTTTTTTAACAAATTTAAGTAAAATCAAGAGTTAAGTGGTTTTTTGGTTTATAAATTTCAAAAAATTATTTTTTTTTATTGCATTTTCAGATATTTGATACTAAGGGGTATATGTGGGCGATTTCGTTTTGCCTCAGAAACTATTTGATATAATTCAAAAACGCAAACAACGGACAGGCGATTCAGAGCCATCGATGTTTTCGGTTTAGAAAAAATTTAAAATGTAACTGAAAGGTGAAGAAATAGAACCAAGATATCATTACACACTTTATCCTTTCATTTAACTGAAAATTTTTTAAAAATGAGGCCTAAATTGAACTTTCAGACCAGAAAAAAAACCTCTTTATGAAGTATTGAAATTAAGCACAAAATGCTCGACATACATAAATATGAATATGTTCCGTTTTAGCATTTAGTTAAAAGAAAAAGAACAAATTTAGTTTGTATAACAAATGAATTACTATTACCTTTGTGAGTTTTAGTTTTTAAATGTTTATTAAAACAACTAAAATAAAAATATTATTTTTTTTTAGGTTTTTCGGATGCTGGAGAGATGTGGAGAGAAGAATTTGAAACAGATAATATTACAGAAGAATTTGATCAATTATGGGAAACTATTAAACCATTTTACGAGCAGTTGCATGCTTACGTTAGGCGTAAATTAATCAAGGAATACACCGACATCCACATCAAACCTGATGGTCCCATACCTGCTCATCTGTTGGGTAAGTTTTCATCACATTTCTGAAGTAATTTCTACTTACCGTACCATTTTTTGCCTAATTTTGAGTTTTTTAGAGAAAAATCCGTATGGTTGGTTGACTGAACGTAAGCAAGACCGGAAGAAATTTAGAGAACTTACGGTGTGTTGTCTATCCGCTTATGTTATGCTTACGAAGCGATGTGTGAATAGGCTTAACATTCCAGGAATTTTTATTATTGTGATTTGTGTTTAAACTTACGTGTAATTTTACCATTCATAAGAGTTTTCTGTAATTTAAAAATTCTCAGGGATCGTGAGCCTAAAATAATTAAGAAAAATTAATATCACAACATTAAAAAAAAGAGTCAAGAAAGTCATATGTTTTGAGTGCTATCCTTAATTTGGTTATATTTGTGTAAAATAGCACCGTTTGTTATTTTTTGGGTAGCAACATAGCAAGCTTGTAGTGTCTTCCGTACTCATTTGTTGTTTGTTTTGTTGAAAGTTAGACTCAAAACACTACAAGTATAATAATATTGGATGGTGCGTTTTTTTCAAGCTTGGCCATAACAATCAGTCGAAAGTAGTCGCCCTGAAGTCTTACGATGAATGTTAACCCCTAGAGCCATCTGTGCTTAGCTTTACAAGGTCAACCATCCACATTGAGCCGCGATGGCTCAGGGGATAGAGTGTTCGCCTTCCAATGAGGTGAACCAGGTTCGAATCCCAGCCGCAGCTAGTCAATACGACTTCCACATCCGGCGTTCACCGACTACAGTGTTGACGAGAAATATCCTCAGTGGTATCATGGATTAGAGTCCCCTTACCGTCAGGTTAACCGTGGGAGGTCCTCGTGGTCGTCCTCTCCATGTAACGCAAATGCGGGTTAGTTCCCTAAAAAAGTCCACCACGAATGCAGATTTCTCACAAATACTTGATCCAGGTATAATATATGAATAATATATTAAATATGTTTTGATACTATCCTGGTACCATTTCATATTAGGGCAACTTATATAGATCTAATAAATTTTAATGAATTTATTTTTTGAGATAACTCTGCTAAGGTTTTGAATTTTGCAAATTGGACAGCTCTCTAGTGGTTTAAGACGGTGACATGTGCATTATGTATATTATTAATAATAAGCAGTATAATTATGATTATGTTCTTAATTTTGAAAAGCGAATCTTTTATTAGGAACCTTTTCCGTACTTATTCTAATTTCCGCTGGTCAATTGTTTGGAATTAAGAATGACTTATTTTATCAATTTTTGTAGTCCATTTGATAATTAAGAGGAACTTTCTCTCAATTGGGCACTTGCAACTCGAGAAGAAGAGATTATTCCTAACTATTTTATATAAATCTGAATTAATTAGATGCCAATAAGCTACGTCACATGTGTGTGTTGAACCTAACTGGCTACTGAATCGACAAACACCACTATTTACCTATGATGACGTCACTCGCATGCATTCAATTGAATTGCACTTCGCATTTCCATCAGTTACTTTTTGTTTAATTAATAATCATTGAACGTTAGACAAACATTTTTAGATGTATTTGAAAATCACCCTTTTTATTAATACTATGATTACTTTTTAATTATTTTATAATTAAGTTTAATTTAATGATTTTTTTACTTCAACGGGTTATTCTCAACACGAGAAGAAGAAGACCACTGATACATAACCACCTAACCTATAACCTCAGCGGGTTGCTTATAAGCAAGATGATGTGTTAATATTCTGGATATTGCTAGCTAAAGGTCGAGCTAAATTTCTCGAAATAAGTAAGAGTTTTAATTAACGTGAAGTTAATCAATATAGGATATTATACTATTTTTAACAAGGTATTCACACAAGACATAGACATTAAGATAAAGTAAATTTATTTTATATTCAACTAGCGAAAATAAATCGAAATGTAAGAGTTTACAACCTGAAATCAAATATTTATATCATGTTACATTTAAAAAAAAATCTTTTTTGATATTTGTGAAGTATGAATGAAACAATATTCAAACCTGTTATGAATTCATCTTTTCTAATTGTTAAAATCTCCTGTCAGGAAATATGTGGGCCCAAACTTGGGGCAACATCTACCGCTTTGTCGCACCCTATCCCAAGAAGAAAGCAGTAGATGTGACAGACACTATGCTTGAAAAGGTACATTTTTTTTTTTTTTTTACCTTTAAAAGTAAATATTTGGAATGAAATGTTTAGATGATGTTTACTAAGTGATAAAATAAATAAATCAAAGATATCACCAGGAATAAGTTTTATTCTTATGATCGGATTTTCACGAACTAAGAGTTTGTCTCAATGGTTCAAACTCAATATGCTAATTAATTATGGCGTACTATAAATTAAGTTATGAAAAAATCTATTATATATAATTCTCTTACGTGGCTCCCAAATTTTGGCTGTATTTCTTTTCCGCCGGTGGCAACGTTTGCTTTGTTTTGAAAACACCAAAGCATTCTGCCTTTTAATGATGTGTTTCTGATCTAATATATATAATTCTCTTACGTGGCTCCCAAATTTTG